TAATGTTCCTCCCACTCTGCAACGCCTACAGTCCATACTAACACTCCCCTCCAAAGAGAGACAAAACATAGCTGAAAAGAGACAAAATGGCCCCATGCTGCATTCCCTGTCAAAGCGCTTGATGGGCCCAAGCAGACGACCCCAAAGCCTTGTTTGGTTGACGATGATGATAACAAGTCAAGTTGTTGCATTACAGTGCAGTTACACTTTGGCCCTTGTTTGTCCGTTTGTTATTCAGAAACAACCCAGAGCTCGCCGATTTGCCTGTGTGTCATGTTTAGTAACGTGACGGATAATATCAAATGCTGCTTTTTATCAATCTTTGAAGCGTGAAGGGTAAGTGAGGAGCTTACCTATTCAAGTAGACGTGTCTACACATTCCATTAGGCATTAAAAAAAATTAAAATATAGTCAGCTAATCAATTTCCTGTTTGGACATGCTCGCTTATAATGAAATTCAGTCACTTATTAGTAGTCCCTTCCCTTTCTTTCTGTGTTTGGGAAAATAATTACTCTCAAAATGCTTGCTCATCCTTTTGCCTGCCTGCTGCCTACTCTGTCAGATTCATTAAGCTATGAGGCGGAAGAGATGAGGAGCCTGTGTCTGTATCTGTCTATTTGTCGGTCCGCCTGCCTATCTGTCTTCCTGCCGCTCAGATTATCCTGGATCAGGCAGCAGGTGAACTGGTGGGCAGGTGACCATCACTCAATTACCAAAAAGAAATTTGATAAGCAGTGGAATAGTTTCCCTTTTTTTTTTTTACCCCATTTGTTTTATGCTGCTACTTGCATTACATTTAGGTTGATACTAAAGTATTTTCAAATAACATTTGTGACATTTGGGCAGTGTGGAAAGAAAAAAAATGCTGTTTTTACATTTTGTGTACAGTTTTATTCTTTAATTACCTTGTACTAATTAGCTAAGTAAGTTAATATGCAATTAAAAAGTGGGGCTATAGGAAATAACAGTCAATCTACAAAAAACAAATTAATTAAATTAAGAAAGTAAAGAATTTTTGTGCTCTGAAAATCTGAAAGAACTTTCCTACTAAACGTCGTTCTGAGGGCAAGGCCAGGAGTCAGGTTTCACTCTTTGTTACCACAAAAAAGAGGAAAGGAAAGCTTCTTCTTTTCCTTTGTTCGATGCAGGTGGGTTAGAATTACTGCAAAGCAAAGTGATGGGATTTATGCTAAGGTGTTCTTGCAGTTTTTTTTTCTGGCAAAGTAGCGGAAGTATTCTCTGAAATTGCCAGCGTAAATGTGATGATAGCTTGTGTCTTAAATAGGGAAGCACATCACCTTATTATGTGGAGTTATAGGTGCTGAAGTTAATACTGGTTCCTATAGATTTAGGAAATGATTTCCCACACAATGCTGTGTAACTTTAGAGCTGTGAGGGATTATGGTACTATGGAGGTGATTTAGTTTGGTTTAGTGGCTCAACATRCAGGGAAGTCTGGGCAATAGGAAATATCTACCAGTGTTTAGCCATGAAGCATTCTGCTGCCATTTTGACCCTTAGCTGGTTGTAGAAATGGGGCTTGAAATAGAGGACATTGACCCGATGTCATGGTCAGACACATTAGTTTACAGTAGCTGCACTGCAGCTGTTCTGCTCTGGGAAACAGAACGGCAAAATCACTTTGCTTTTTTTGTTTGAAAAAAAATAAATTTTTGCCCAAATCCTTTACAACAAACATTCTTACTTCATCGTCACTTTTTCTTGTGTAACGTAAAACTAAATCAACTATCTGTCATTTCTGTTGACTTGACGAAGCTTCTAAAGTACTGACCAAAATGCAGAAATTATTGTTAAATTAATGTTGATCGTAAATATTATGTCACTTCCACAAGCACGCTTGATCAGCAGCCAATCTGATTGTAACAGTCAGGCCAGTCATCTTGTGTTTCAACAAGGTGTTGGGTTTCCCATAGTTCTTAGCTGTACAGTGACACGGGCCATTTCAAAGTGTGGCTAAAACTCTATAGAAGAAATGACTCGTTAAATTAGCACCTAATACTCCATTCATTAGCAAGCCGTTACCATCAATGGAATGCCTTTGATGTTGCTGCTTTGTGTGAGTGGCTCCCCTGYGAGCACCATTGGAAAAAATGACCCTGGATATTACACAATTACACTCTGCTGTAATTTTTATAACTAAAATATAAGGAAATGTAAAAAAATGATAGTTTGGCATCTTTTCTAACCCATAAACCACCAATGTCATATCCACATAGAAAGCAAAATGTGGAGCCCATAAACAATCAAACTTGATTGGTTGTTCTTAAGAGCCTGATCTTTTGGATGTTTATAAGCTGGAGGAAATTGTCCATTGTGGAGAGATATCGGTAACCCTCTTAGGCAAAGCTAGTCTGTGGGGCGGCCCTGAGGGCTCATTTGAAGTGCTTAGCACTCGTTTGGAGCTTTGTCGCCCCTCGCTCTGTTGCCAGCGTGGCCCAGGCCCCTCTGGCTGTGGAGCTGAGCTGAACCACAGACCCTTTACCCCCTGCTCGCCACCAAGGAGGAAACACTGACATCACAGCTCTGACACACACTCACACACACACATAATCACACAAACACTGTGGCACACATCCATTTTCACATTCCCCCACAACCCCCCAGCATCAATGTACCACGGCCAATGGTCGGTTTTCCCGCCGTCCACTCCCCTCCGACACCCTCCGTCACCCCACCACCCCTGTCTTATTTTTTTTTCTTTCTCCACCCTCTTGAAGGTTGCCAGGCAGCAGAGAAAGACTTCACACACACACACACCCCGCTTTGCCTCTGAGGGTTTTCCGGATGTCCTTGTTTACATCATGGGGTGTGCAGGTCGTAGGGAAGCCGACTCAGAGCCTGGCTGACCATGTTTTTCCAATTCCTGTGCTAAACTCCATTCATTCATTAACAAAACCAGTAGCCGAGGGAGCCTTACTAAAAAGATCTTTACTCTGATGTTTAATTCTGGTGTCGATTTTAAAACTGTGGTCTATGAGCTTTTTTATGGGATGATTCCTTTCAGCAAAGAGATGAAATGTGTTTATTTGATTGAAGGTTGACATGGAACAAGTATTCATGGCATTCATAAGTTATCGGCTTTACCATTGCCTGCCACTGATGGTTGTGATAGTTGTTGACTGGATACAAGGCTGTCTTTTYTCTCACTGTGTCAAACCGATCGATTAGTTTTGTCTGCTCCTCCCTCCAACTTTGATGTTGCCATTGATTGTTCTCATCTGCCCCTGAACTGAAAGGTTAGAAGAGCTGAGCTTCACTTCTGGATTGCTTTGACCTTCGCTCCGCACATGCTCAGTGGGTTCCCAAAGCGCAGAGCCAGAGACACGGCACAGCCAGGCTCATGGGTGCATGGCAGCCAGACAACGGTGTGATGTTGTTTTTCCCTTCTTTTTTTTAACTCACCCAGTGAGGATGATGTATATGTGATTGATTTTTTTTTCCACCTACCCTTCTCTCTGCCATGTTTCTGCTGCAGTGCACTAAGCAGGAGTGAGTCCAGGCTTGATCAATGCATTGTTTTTCTTTTTCAATCACACTTGAGTGAGCTGGAGACACGAAAGGTTACGCAGGTGAGGGTTGGCAGGGACGGAACTTGTGCAGAGCTTCTAGCATTTTGAGTGTATGAGTTTGCATGAATGTGTGCATGTATTGTATCGCTATGACTTAACCCTGATTTTCTTCCTCATTCTGGAAAATAATGACTTTACTTCAATTTTCCCTTTTTTTTCCTTTACTATCTTGAATTTATTTACAGATGTGTCCCAGCTGTCTTGCCTACCTGAAATAATTTTGAGAGCAGCTCAAAAATACATTCCCTTACTTTATCCATTAATCCATTCATTTACTGTATTTATTGTCAGCAGTTTCCTTTGAAACTTAAGTTTAGTAAGAACGAGAACACTTATGGAAGACATCTCCCTGAAATGTCAGCCTTAGCAGCAGGACCACAAGGCTTCACATCATACATGATCAGTGATAAAACAATGCTGAATAATGGGAGGAAATAATCTACCCCAAAGGGATGAAGAACATTATGTAGTCTTGAATTATCTCTTAGTAATGACGCTCTTAAACCCCTTACTCAAACATCTAGTCGTTTAGAAAAAGATAAGTATCTGTGGGAGTGGAAGAGCTCTCCTAAAGCTGGATGTCTGGAGGGGATGAGGATGTGGCGGGCAGGGGAAGGTTTAGAGGACTGGGTGGGAGTGCAGGCTTTGACCAGCAGGTTTCAGATGTCATGGCAGATTCTTTCAGGAGCAAATTACAGGGTTTAACCTCTCTTGTCCCCAGAATGGCTGTATTCTGATTTAACTTCCCTGACAGACACTCGAGCGACGTGCTACTCAACACCATTGTCGGAGGGCACACTTGACTCGGGAGATACTTCACCTCGTCTCACGCTCTCAAGTGCTCTTCAAGACTTTGTCCACAAATGTCCTTCAGAGGCCTTTCATGTTGGGTCCTGTGAAAGCAAAGCATTGTAGCCCTTCGAAAGCTTAATAGTTAGCATGTTGATGTAAGGGAGGTTTACATGAGTGGCTCTCATTAACCTCTTAGTATTATTGTGCATTGAGTCAGCTTTACAGGAAAGCTTTGCTGTGAAACGGCTAAAGTTTTGATTGCGATGACTGGGCTGAACACAATGATCTGTTGGGAAATAAAGCAGTCAACACCCGTGCAAACATCTATCTGTATTTCTCTTCTCATACACAGGTACTATACAGTATATCTGCCTTTTGAGGTGTAACAGGCCTCCAGCTCTCTGAAGCATTTAGCAGCAGGGTTTGCAGATTTACTCTGTGTTTCCAGTGTTAAGAAGAGTGCTGAAGCATCTAATGCAATTTCAACCCAACATGGCTCTCTGTGAATACGCACCACTGAAGTGAACGGTCTACTGTATACTGATCTACTGTAGTGCTCTCGTACCAGCCCACTAACGCTCTGCCTCCCTCTCCCTCCCCAACTCTGATTTCTGTAGCGATTGCATTTGCCTCCGGACTTGTCCGAGACGGTGAGTCGTGTGAGCAGGGGGGAGCTGGCAGGAGCCGCTTCAGCCTGCGGCTCCGGCGCATCCGGCACAAAACACCTGGACTTCTAAAGCCCTCGCACAGTCACCATGGGAAACAAACAAGTGGGAAGCCGCAGCCATTGTCCTCTTTGCCACAGCGACCAGGATGTTCTCTTGCCCACGTAATGTCAACTGGGATAACCCAGCCGGCCATTACCACCTGCCAACAAACTCAGCCAGGAGTGAAGATCTAAACATCCACAACCCCCTGCTTCTAACGGCTACATTCACACTTTCATTTCAAGCCCTTTTTCTACAAGTCCTAATGTTTTGTTTGTTTGTTTTTTACCTAAACACTTGATAATTCACATTGTTAGAAGAAGTGGTTTGTGCTTGTGTAATGGCCATTTTTAATGATTCTTAATCCACAACAAAGGACATCCATGTGGTGTTTCTAAATGCTTTGTGAATTCAAATGACTGCTTCTTAACTTGGTTCAAATCCAAGCATTTAAAATTGTTTAAATTCAGTTTGTTTGTTTTGTTTTTCTCCACCTTTAGGGATTTGAAAAGGAAGTGTAATCATTTAATATTTTTATTATTTTTACACAATATTTCCACCTTGGTAAACAATAAATAATTAATCTCGGGTTTACGTTTCAAAACAAGAAACATCTGCTGTGCTGTTTCACCTTTTGCATCGTTCTGCAAATGCAATTTATTTTTTAAGACGACTGAAAGACTCTCATGTGAAATGAATAAAAAAAGATAGCATGCAGAACTCTACTTGTGTTTGTGTCTCAGCTTTTACTTTCCTGCACTTACATCATTCTCTCGGAGAAGAAAACAAAGCGAGCGGGTTGTGAATGATGCCAGTGTAGTGTACCTGACTGGTTTTAGRTTTGTGTAGTCATGCCTTCACGCGACCCCAAGTTTGTGCAGGTGAGTGACGTGTGCGTTCGCTAAGCAGATCAAAACAGAAATGTGGGCAGAGGGCAGGAAAGCTGGATTTGGGCGCAGGCTTCACACCTCATCGGTCGTGTTTGCTGGATGAGCTGCTCTGCCATGACAAGCCCCAAAAAGAACAAATTAGGTCAAACGGTGACATGGGGTAACGCAGAAAGAGAGTCCACATGAAAAATTWAATGTTTCATTTTTGTTTTCCTCAGTCTGAGGCCGATGCCACATTGAATTGTTTTGCCGGTTGAAACTTGGCAGAATCTGTAATTGTTTCCAACATGTGTTTGGGAAAAAACAAGGAGTTACCTGACATTTTTGTTTGTTTGTTTGTTTGTTTGTTTTTACATACTTGGAGCACCTTTTTGTCAGGTTCATGAGCGCGATAATGACATGCACATGTCACTTACACAGGTGATCAAATGCCCAAAATAAAAACAGCTCTCTGGTTGTTGGTGTTGAAGTGTTGACATATGTAGGACTTTGAATATAGATTTAAACAGAATAAATTCATCTTGTCATGTTTTTGGGTTGCTTTACCAGCTGTTTTCTTGTTTGTTTGGCATTGTTCTGATTCATTTTTCACCTCAAAAACATTTAGTTGGACTTTATAACTTTTAAAGTCACAAATCATTTATTTTCCGATTTTTTTTTTTTATATATAAGTTTAGTTTTTTCCATAAAAACTGCTTTTGGCTGCTTGTTTGATTCATTTGAACAACTCTAAATGAAGCAAACCTCAATGAGGCCCAKTTTTAAAGTATTTATTAAATATTTAATTTTCATATAAATTTTACACTAATATATTCCAGCAATCAGAAGTCATTTTAACAAAGCTCTTCAGCATACCAAGAATTGTGATTTATTTCAAACGGTAGCGTTTGGATGGAACATTTAATGTGAATATTTCACTAGTATCAAACATTGCTTTCTTGTTCCTGTTTTAAAAGTTTGAAATAAAACTTTTTTTGTTTTATTTAGAGGCATATTAATTTTAGGACAAATTGTAACAAAAGCCGAAAATTTACTCTCTTAACTGTAGATTTCATGTTTTCACTTTTGTTGGTAGCTAATAMATTTTAATGAGCATTAGTTTAAAAATTTTTGAAAGCTTTTCACTGAAAAAAAAAATTTGTAAGTTGTACTTGAAAAAATCCTCTAACAAATTTGCACTAACGTTTGTTAAGTAAATTTAAATGGTACAAATCCACGTAATATTTACTTATTATCTAGTAAAAGTTGTTAAGAATATAGTTAAAGATTTGTGAATAAATCAGGTAAATTTTATTTAATTTGTTCAATTAAATCTTGTAACATATACTTGATCAAATTAAGTAAAATTTACCTGATTTATTCACAAATCTTTAACTATATTCTTAATAACTTTTACTAGATAATGATGAGTAAATATTACATGAGTTTGTACCATTTAAGTTTACTTAACCAACATTAGTGCAAATTGTTAGAGGATTTTTTCTTGTAAATCTTACAAGTTCCTTATAACAGTGCACATGCATCAAGCACAATATCGTAGCATGACACCTCACAGCCACAGAGAAAGGTGTAGTTCTTGTTGTAGTTCAAGACTTCACCACCAGGTGGCGATTTTGAAGAAACTTTATTGGATTCTTCTTCATGAACAACACAGACAAACTGAAACTCACAGGTCTTATTAATGACTAGGCCTACCACTCTCACTTATAATTACTTCTGCTTAATGGTTTAACACAAGTTAACAAATAATGAACACACAAATTAGAGTAACAACAGACTAATTGCTGAAAGAAAAATGTTAACCAATTCCCTAAAATGAATTAACAACAACAAACATGAATCCTACCCACAATCCTCCACTGCAGTCACATGACAAACAGCCAAACACAGCAGAATGCTACAATATGCGTTCCTTGTTCCCTGACAACTAAATATCACCTACAGTAAGCCATCAAACTATTGCACACCAACAAATKTATTCAAGCAAATGAAACCAGACAACTTGTGTTTTATTTYGACCATGTCTTGTCCTCTCCTTGAAAAGTGAAACAAGGGAATGAGGAGCAGCAGCCTTGTGCACATGCACCCTCAGTTTTAGCCCAGAAGAGTAGAAGTTACTTAATATATTCATGTTTATGTGCTGGCCATAAAAAGCACTTAAATATTACTGGTAAAATAATATTAGCATTTACTTTTTTTGTACAGTAATATTGATGTATAAAACCATGTATATTGTTTATTTAGTAAATTCTAGTAGTTTAGAAATGTTGATATTTATTTTTTTGTAAAAATTTAAAAGAACAGAAAATGTTACTACACCCCAAAATCCCTTTTTTTCAGTGCAGGAACTTAATAATGCTGCTTTTAACAATATCTTAGAARTCAAAGGGTTAAATACAGAGAACRTTATTAAACTTTAATTATCTGGCCTTGGCTTTTTGATGGATCCATATAGCACTCAGCATTTCAACAGTTTTGTAGTTGCCTGAAAAGCATTTTGRTCTCTGTTGTTTTTGTGACATTATTTTTTAATTTTTTAAGACAAAAAACTTATTATTATTAATAAGATAAAGGAAGAAATTAGTGATCATTGCTGATGTTGGCACATTTTGCCATTGCTGCTTTTTTGAAACACTCCTCAGYAAAAGTGAAACATGACAAAGATGAGAATGAGAACTGTGAATTCAGTTGTATAATTGAGTATTTGGCAGCAGCTACTTCTGTCCTATTGATCCTTAACCAAAGCCAAAGCAGTTTTCCAGCATCTGAGGTAGTTCTGTTATTTGGACGGCCTCCACACTGAAATACTGTTCAAGAAAATAGGCTGGCAGTCTTCAGTTTCATTRAACATCCATTAGAAAAGTTTAATCAGATAAATTTATGCTTAGATGTGTTACAGACTGGATAATAGGCAGCAGGTTTGAGTTTAGGTTTAAGTTAAAATCATTAAACCGATCTAAAAGCAGAAAAGTTCTAAAGAACTTTTCAACAAACTTGCCGACTCCAGTAAAAATTAAATTTAAACCATTTCATCCTGGTGATGTGTATTATTTAAGCTGCTAGTGATTGCAGTCCTTCTTGCATTTTGAATCTATTTCTCATTCTCTCTCTGTAATTATTAATGTTCCTCCCTCGGTCTGGAAACAGTCGTCTATTCTGCTCTGCCTCCTCTTTCTGCACTCCGAACACTGTTCCTCCATTTGGGTGATAAAGTGGATTAAATGAGTAGAGAAATTGCATTAACTCCCCCCGTCACCACCACCAACACCAAAAGAAAAATGAAACATTTTTTAAAGAATCGGATTAAGCGTTCCAACTTGTGATGGAGCTGTTAAATCTTGGGTGACGTGTAAATTCAAATAATCAATTTAGATAGACATTTGGGGTTGCCTGCTGTGTGAGTGCTACCTGACCTCACTCTCCTGGATGTTTTGCCCTTACAGAGACGGTCTTTCAGTGTCTACACAACCCCCTTTAAAACCTACACACACACACACACAGACACACGACCCCCCCTCCCCACCCCACCCTCCCCTGCTGAGGCAGCAAGTGAAGCAAAATAACTCACTCTGCCACACAATCGCTCCTCTGCCTCGCTCTGGGCACTGACTGCTTTATCCCACAACTTTTTTTTCTCTCAGCTCCCTCCTCCTCCTCCTCGTTGTTGCCTCTGTACATGTGTGGGTTTTTTTTTCATACTATCGTAACTCTACTAAAACAAGAGCCGGTGATGGTGAATTGCTTGACCTTTCTCATTGTGTGGTGGTGTTGTGTTGTGTGGTCTGTGTCGACTTGGTTCAGCCCCATACATCAGGAGAGGCTTGTTATTTCTGATGCCTCCTTTTGTGAAAATTGGAAATGTTAGATGTTGGGGGGAAAAAAATCTGCTTTAGTGGTTAAAACTGTAAACACAAACACATCAACCAGATGACAAAAAAAGGGGTCTTTCTTTAAGACACAATTTTACTGTACAAAATGTTTTATAGTTTTCACAAAATACATTTAAAAAGCTCCATTTTTAAATAAAATTAAATTGAAATATTTAAAGAGACAGCGTGTTTCATCTCAGAAGCAATGCTCAAATGTGAACCCGGGCATGTGTCCATGTTCTTTGCACACACTGGAATGAAAATGCAAAAAAAAAAAAAAAAAAAACTCAAAAAGAGCATGACAGATGATGCTAGAAAAACCCTCCCATGGTCTTTAATTATAAATAAGGACTGCGGGGTTCGACTGCAATCTTCCGAACTCGAAGCCAATGCAAYTGAACGAAACGTGCTTACAAAAATGTCGCATCACAAGACTAAAACTTTTCAAAAGAAACAAACAAAATAAAAACATTGTGTAGATGAAATACAAAGGCTTTGGTCTGTTTTACAATCAACAATGATTAAATCTGATATGTACTTGTAAACAACTGCCAAACACTTAAGTTTAAAACTCTGTCAAGCAATGTTTAATCATAATTATAGGAATTAAATATTTCTAGTTGCACATTTTTTTTGACCATAGGACACTATATTACAACTATACCTAGGAGACAAATTGTACCTGACCCTAAAGAAATGTATTTCATGATGCATGGAACATCTATAGAATATTCTTGGGGGGGATATAAATGAAATCAACTTTTATTGGAGAAATCTTTTCTGGAAGATTTCTAGGGAAGACAAGTACTTTACATTTTGACAGAAACAAACTGGATTATATCAAAGACGCCGGTCTACCATTTACAGACTACAGGTGTTCTTTTACACCTGTTTTCTTCTTGTAATGTTCCTGGTGGTAATCTATGGAGTCAATCCAACCTCAGAAGCACAAGGCGCATGTTGTGTTGCACCATCTTTGCACACTTGGAGCTGCTGATAGTGATCCGTGTCTTTAAAAAAAAAGCAAACACAGGCCCAATGTCAGGGGCCTAGATCGCAGCCTCAGGGTGGATCGAGTTTGAGTTTCTTCCTCTAAATATCCATTTGTAAGAAATAAGACCAATAAATAGTTTTCTTTTTTTTGTCACAGTAAGAGTCTTCCCTCCAACTTCTCATCGTTAATGATATGAAATAATGTCCAAAGACCATGCAAAGGCTGGTTGAAAGTCTCGATATAAGCAGATTAAAAGATAGTCATGGCAGAATCTCAGGTTCTCCTCTCGCAAACAAATGCAAAACCAACATGGTTTTCTAGCAGTCCATCTCTTGTTTTTTTTTTCTTATTTTTATATTAACATACAAATGGCCATTTACAAACACATCAGAGAAAAAAAGGAAACAATGACTGAAGTTGGAAATAGAAAAAAGAAACAGATAAGTTTTTGTTCCATAAAAATTTAACACCGGGCACTTTACAGAGGTCCTTTTTTTTCCTCCTGGCTTTTTCTCATTGGATTTTCTTCCAAAGTCCTTGCTTGAATGTGCCAACAGGGCCACATAACAGCACGCTGTCCCAGTGGAAAAACAAAAGTTCAGACGTCCCAAAGCTCTCCTAGAGTCTCTCTCTCTCTCTCGTCTGTGTCCTCATGTCTTCTCCGCTATCCTGTGCCGTGTATGTGTGAGGAGCACTGCTGGAGGGCGATGGTGGACCGGGCGCTTACAGGGTGAAGTAGCTCTTCTCTCTACTGTAGTCTTGACCAGTATTGAGACATATCAGGCTCGCTCCCTGGGACTTGGACAGGGACAGACACTCCAGGAGAGATGAGTCCTGCAGAGACCAAAAAAGAAAGAGATATAAGCTAAAACCAATCAAACAAAAGAAATACTCATTTCACCAGAAATCTGAATGAAATCAAAAGATGCTCTGTGCACAATCAGGACATTACTGTGCACTTGAAAGGCTTGTAAAATAAACGGACAAGCACGGGGCTGCAGGGAGTCACAATACTCTGCACACGGGGTGCAACGTAAAACTCGTGCATGCTCGATAAATTGAGGCCACAGCAATGGCATTTAAACAGAGAGCGTACAATAGCAAATGAATCAAATTAATTAGCAATTTAGCACAGAGGAAATGCGGTTATGCATGATTAACTCTTCATGACTATAACCRGTATATATGGCTCTCTGAAACAGCACCCTAATGGGGTGGAACTAAACTATGTGCTGGAGTCGTGGGGCTGACATGATGGCCTGGAGTGGCACTGAAATGAAGAGCTGTCCATGGCCCTGCAGAGAGAAAAGGATTTCAGATGGAGAAAGGGTTGACCCCTTTAGACATCTAACCAATGGGGTCTCTCAAATAGACAGGATGGAGAGGTAAAGTCACGGTAACAGGGGCGTGAATCAAAGATCCAGTACCTTCCCGTTATTACAGACGAGGCGGCAGATAATTCAGAGTGCACTGTTTGATTGCATTCGTTCCCAACAGATTTTGGTAAACAATGAACTTTCTGCCTACCTGTTGAGGTGGTACCAGAAGTGGTCATTGATTGGCTGTTCATATGTGCCTGCATATGAGGGGGCGTGTATGTTTCGTAGCTCCGCCCGTTCACAGGCGGACTGGTAGGCAGCATGCAGGAATAAGAGGAGGTCTGGCTGGGCTATATGGGGAAGAGAATGTTACATTAGCTTAGCCAACCATAGTTTGTTTTTTTTTTTTTAGTTTTAGTTTTTCATGTTTAAGTTACGTCTTTGGTACACCTTTAACTTTTTTTTTTTTTTTTCTTTTTTTTTTTTTTT